ATTTGCACTTTGAACTATGAACTAATTCAAGTTGAAGGCCCAGCCTATTAAAACAAAAGAAAGAAGATGGATTTAGTTAATTTAAAACAATTTGAATAAACAAAAAGATGTCGGATGATTAAGGGAAGCTGTTCACCAAAATATTCATTCTTGTACAATAATAGCTTATCGTGAATAAACAAAAACACTTTAGTTTCACTTCATTATTGTAATCATGAGCTCCATGCTTTTTCCAATTCCCTTCAGTGATTACACTGTCAAGCGTTTCACTTTATAACATACTGAACGTGAAAGTTGGTTTCTTTTCATGTGAACTACTAATGCCAATAATAGTAACAAACAAAAATTAAATTAAAAACAAGACCCCCAATTTTGCAACCAAAAAAAAAAAGTAAAATGCAACAAACCAAGAAACAACTATTTCTACCCAGAGACGCCCAAAAGCATAGGCACACGTGCAAATTGATGAAGACCCAGATGATGAAATGACTAAATAAAGCCAAACAGAGAAATACAATTACCTATGCTAAACTCAAATACTACCACAACAGTGAGGATGGCCCAGACCGAGTAACGACTGAGCTGCTTGAAAGGCTCTTTGAGGAAAATCAGCAACGAAATGATCATCAAGGCCAGACCCATCTTGGCCGCGAATACGATCTTTCTCGGATCGGATTGACCCATCCGAATTGCCCGGTTAGAAACATTTTGTACAGTCCTGCACCAGCTCACAATTCTATCGGAAACTGATCGAAAAGTGCAGCAGCGAAGAGACCCAGATGGCTCTTGTTCCTCGATGTGGACGAAGCCCAGCTCGGAGTAGCCCTTCTGGGTTGAGAGCAACCTTTCTCTTTTCTCTTGGAAATTGTACTTGAAAGAACCCAACTTTGCTATTGCTGCCATTTTTTCAAGAGAACAGAAGAAAACAGAGGGAATAATGGAAATCTTGTAATACAACAAAGGGTGTGAGAGAGCTAGAGTCAGAAATTCTCTCCCTTTATTTGTGGTTTATACTATTTTTGGGGGGATTAGAGCCCGAGAGTGAGAGACAATGTTTTGGTTTGGAGTGGATCACAGTAAAATAACAATAAAGAAGGAGTCTTTTTGCGGTTTGTAACTTACCAAATTATTATTTTGGTCTGATGTCATGTAACTAGATTGAAGAGTAAGAGATAGGTTAAATAAATCAGGTACGGAAATTGTAAGAAAGTTTCAGGGTTTCAGTTTTCAGTTTTGTGACGGGGTAGAGGCAGCGCCGTTACTTTATCCAGATACGACTTTATCATTGGAAGGAGTTGCGTAATGAGGTAGTAGCCCCTCAACAAACTAGGAGATTTTTTCTTCTTTTTTTCTTTTTTATAACTGAAAATTGGGCTTTTGTACGCCACTCAAATTTAATAAGAAAGAAAAGCTTTGTGTAAAAAGAAAATGTTTTATTATTCATAAACAATCAAATCATGCAAGGCTTGTAGTTCGAGTGATTAACCCTTGTCTGAGATTTTGTGTTTAAATTATTTTTCTCTAATATTGCTTGTATTTAAAATTTTAAAACAAAAAACAAAAGAAACCAACAGCAGCTAGATCAGTCCGTCTCTAACATGCTTGGCTTGCCTATTTTCTTCGCAATATGACTGACAATCAACTTGACCAACCAGTTTGCACCATCTGCAGGCTTCTCTCTGCCCTCCATAATTTCTGTTTTTATGGCTTCATAATTAAATCGTCGTCATGTGCACACAGCCGACTCCTTCGAATTATTAGCACGTATGGAACTTAGTATTAAAAAAAGTCCCACTTGCGTATGCACTTAACTCGAAGAGAAAATCTTGCCAAAATTTAAGAAAAAGTTTTACATCACACATGCATACAAGTGGTTTCAACTTGGTTGGGGTAGGATATGAGATTATTCCAAGAAGTGATCAAAGGCGTCTGCTGCTGATCTTGGTTTTCTTCATCATTGGTGTTACTGTTGTTGCTGCTAAGTTCTTGTATGTCCAGTATCTCAACTCTGCGATTTGTCTTCTTCCTTATCTTGATCGCTACGTCCTGTGGGATAAATCTGCCGCACACGCTCACCCTGCACTCCTTCTTCTCTATCAAATGTGTCTCCAACTCTATACATGTGTATATATATAATCAGCTAGTTAAGAAACAAAATATATATACTTGTGTATGAGAAAATTAAGATAGATTGTACTTTTATCTCACCTCGCATATCAAGAAGAGCTCTCCTTACTTTTCTGTAGCAACCATTGCAGTCAATATTGATTCTCATCAGCATGTAGCAGAACTGAACATGATCAAATATGTGTATCAGATCATGCAGATATCAGAAACTGAAATAATATTGGACATTGTAATTCAATTTGAGCATACCTTGTCTGTCATGAAATGGTGATCAGAGAGAGATGTATTGCAATTGTTGCTTCAGAATCCAAAATTGGTCGAATGGACAACAACAGAAGGTTGATATTAAATGCCAATGATGCAATGGAATAATATAGAAAGCGAAAAAGGATCAATCGAGTATCATGAGCTGGTTATATATAATTCTGTTGATTCATGGAGTTCTGTTCATCTTGGAATCTGATTCTTCCCATGCAAAGATATATATGTATAGGTTGGCAATTTGGTTAGTTTTTCTCATTATTCTTGACTTCTTTGCATTCTTTTGTGTTTCTCAAATGCACTAAGCTAACTAGAGCATCACTTTCTTGCTTCCAGAGGGGCCTATGCCGACACAAAGGCATCACTTTTTCTCAACACCTTTTCCAAATGGCAATTAATGCCTTAATCTGGGTGAAATGGAAAGTTTATTTGACTCCAATATTAGGAATTTCTTTTTGGGATTCCAAAATTCTCTCTTTTCTCTATTTTTATTTCTCTGGTCTGCATATCTGTCTGCAATCGAGTGATTAATGATATATAAACTAATATGCCTTTGGAAATAAGGAAAGGCCAATGTAGGAAATGGCGACCAGGAACCACTCACCAATTACTTGTTTTATAAGACAACCAATAACTGCTGTATTCCATGTACTAGAACTTAGACATATGACTAAAAGTTTCTAGGCTGCTTGCATAACTGTAAGCTGAGTGATCATAGCTTGAGGGTTTACTTATATTATACACACAAAGAAAACAAAAAACCTCAGGCATTTTTACATGGGTGAATTCATAATAAAAAGGATTTTCAAGAGCAATCAACAACGGATAGAAAATCTTGCAATCCTTCAAGCTTTGTGAGACAGTTTTCTACAGAAGGCAGACACATTTCTTAGAGATGCTTTATGGACTGATTTACGAGGGAGCATAACCTTTTTATCTAGAAGATAAGAAATTATACTTAATTGGTCATGTATAATTGAAAGTTTGGTACCAACAATAAGCTTCCATAAATTATCATTCTCACATATGACGGATGTTACATAACCAGGAACTTCAACCGGGTAATGGCTCCTTAGAAGGCTTTAAATAATTCTCTTACCATCAACATCTGAAATCACCTGGGAAGTCCTCTTTGGCACTTGCCGCATCCTAAATCAGCAGATATAACCACTTCCGGAATCTGCTCAATAAAATTATAATCAGGCATGAACTGCGTACCGACATCAATAAACTATCCATAATGTGTTTGAAAATAGTGAGACAGAGGGAACCAACCAGAGGCACCTCTAAGGTTGTAGCAGAAAGCAGAGCTGGTTCGAGGAAGTAGCCACCTGTTACTGGCCTTGTGAGCTTTTAGTGGAGCAAACTTCTTCTTAACCCAAAAAGTCGGAGAAATGGCTTTGCTGTGTGTATCTTTGAAGCTTGGCAATGATAAACCATAAACCGTTACAGGAGAATGTGTGCATATATGATATATATATATATATATGTAAGTATATTACAAACCACGTTCATTGAAGTTGCTTAACTTCAGTTCCACCTGCTAATTAATAGAGTTGGAAGGGGTTGATTTTTCAAATGAATACGACTATTTTGATTGAGAAATCTGATCTATATGATTTTGAGCTGCAAAAGCTTTTAGGACAGCGAGATGGGATACATAACGTATGCATTCTTAATACTTAGGTTGACAAAAATGGTCAGTCTCCATTGATGGGTTAAAAAAGAAAACTTTTTGCTCATTTTCTCTTTCCTTCTATTTCTTATTGAAAAATGAACGTACAAAGAATTAATGGACAACCTTTCTCTTTTCTCTTGGAAATTGTACTTGAAAGAACCCAACTTTGCTATTGCTGCCATTTTTTCAAGAGAACAGAAGAAAACAGAGGGAATAATGGAAATCTTGTAATACAACAAAGGGTGTGAGAGAGCTAGAGTCAGAAATTCTCTCCCTTTATTTGTGGTTTATACTATTTTTGGGGGGATTAGAGCCCGAGAGTGAGAGACAATGTTTTGGTTTGGAGTGGATCACAGTAAAATAACAATAAAGAAGGAGTCTTTTTGCGGTTTGTAACTTACCAAATTATTATTTTGGTCTGATGTCATGTAACTAGATTGAAGAGTAAGAGATAGGTTAAATAAATCAGGTACGGAAATTGTAAGAAAGTTTCAGGGTTTCAGTTTTCAGTTTTGTGACGGGGTAGAGGCAGCGCCGTTACTTTATCCAGATACGACTTTATCATTGGAAGGAGTTGCGTAATGAGGTAGTAGCCCCTCAACAAACTAGGAGATTTTTTCTTCTTTTTTTCTTTTTTATAACTGAAAATTGGGCTTTTGTACGCCACTCAAATTTAATAAGAAAGAAAAGCTTTGTGTAAAAAGAAAATGTTTTATTATTCATAAACAATCAAATCATGCAAGGCTTGTAGTTCGAGTGATTAACCCTTGTCTGAGATTTTGTGTTTAAATTATTTTTCTCTAATATTGCTTGTATTTAAAATTTTAAAACAAAAAACAAAAGAAACCAACAGCAGCTAGATCAGTCCGTCTCTAACATGCTTGGCTTGCCTATTTTCTTCGCAATATGACTGACAATCAACTTGACCAACCAGTTTGCACCATCTGCAGGCTTCTCTCTGCCCTCCATAATTTCTGTTTTTATGGCTTCATAATTAAATCGTCGTCATGTGCACACAGCCGACTCCTTCGAATTATTAGCACGTATGGAACTTAGTATTAAAAAAAGTCCCACTTGCGTATGCACTTAACTCGAAGAGAAAATCTTGCCAAAATTTAAGAAAAAGTTTTACATCACACATGCATACAAGTGGTTTCAACTTGGTTGGGGTAGGATATGAGATTATTCCAAGAAGTGATCAAAGGCGTCTGCTGCTGATCTTGGTTTTCTTCATCATTGGTGTTACTGTTGTTGCTGCTAAGTTCTTGTATGTCCAGTATCTCAACTCTGCGATTTGTCTTCTTCCTTATCTTGATCGCTACGTCCTGTGGGATAAATCTGCCGCACACGCTCACCCTGCACTCCTTCTTCTCTATCAAATGTGTCTCCAACTCTATACATGTGTATATATATAATCAGCTAGTTAAGAAACAAAATATATATACTTGTGTATGAGAAAATTAAGATAGATTGTACTTTTATCTCACCTCGCATATCAAGAAGAGCTCTCCTTACTTTTCTGTAGCAACCATTGCAGTCAATATTGATTCTCATCAGCATGTAGCAGAACTGAACATGATCAAATATGTGTATCAGATCATGCAGATATCAGAAACTGAAATAATATTGGACATTGTAATTCAATTTGAGCATACCTTGTCTGTCATGAAATGGTGATCAGAGAGAGATGTATTGCAATTGTTGCTTCAGAATCCAAAATTGGTCGAATGGACAACAACAGAAGGTTGATATTAAATGCCAATGATGCAATGGAATAATATAGAAAGCGAAAAAGGATCAATCGAGTATCATGAGCTGGTTATATATAATTCTGTTGATTCATGGAGTTCTGTTCATCTTGGAATCTGATTCTTCCCATGCAAAGATATATATGTATAGGTTGGCAATTTGGTTAGTTTTTCTCATTATTCTTGACTTCTTTGCATTCTTTTGTGTTTCTCAAATGCACTAAGCTAACTAGAGCATCACTTTCTTGCTTCCAGAGGGGCCTATGCCGACACAAAGGCATCACTTTTTCTCAACACCTTTTCCAAATGGCAATTAATGCCTTAATCTGGGTGAAATGGAAAGTTTATTTGACTCCAATATTAGGAATTTCTTTTTGGGATTCCAAAATTCTCTCTTTTCTCTATTTTTATTTCTCTGGTCTGCATATCTGTCTGCAATCGAGTGATTAATGATATATAAACTAATATGCCTTTGGAAATAAGGAAAGGCCAATGTAGGAAATGGCGACCAGGAACCACTCACCAATTACTTGTTTTATAAGACAACCAATAACTGCTGTATTCCATGTACTAGAACTTAGACATATGACTAAAAGTTTCTAGGCTGCTTGCATAACTGTAAGCTGAGTGATCATAGCTTGAGGGTTTACTTATATTATACACACAAAGAAAACAAAAAACCTCAGGCATTTTTACATGGGTGAATTCATAATAAAAAGGATTTTCAAGAGCAATCAACAACGGATAGAAAATCTTGCAATCCTTCAAGCTTTGTGAGACAGTTTTCTACAGAAGGCAGACACATTTCTTAGAGATGCTTTATGGACTGATTTACGAGGGAGCATAACCTTTTTATCTAGAAGATAAGAAATTATACTTAATTGGTCATGTATAATTGAAAGTTTGGTACCAACAATAAGCTTCCATAAATTATCATTCTCACATATGACGGATGTTACATAACCAGGAACTTCAACCGGGTAATGGCTCCTTAGAAGGCTTTAAATAATTCTCTTACCATCAACATCTGAAATCACCTGGGAAGTCCTCTTTGGCACTTGCCGCATCCTAAATCAGCAGATATAACCACTTCCGGAATCTGCTCAATAAAATTATAATCAGGCATGAACTGCGTACCGACATCAATAAACTATCCATAATGTGTTTGAAAATAGTGAGACAGAGGGAACCAACCAGAGGCACCTCTAAGGTTGTAGCAGAAAGCAGAGCTGGTTCGAGGAAGTAGCCACCTGTTACTGGCCTTGTGAGCTTTTAGTGGAGCAAACTTCTTCTTAACCCAAAAAGTCGGAGAAATGGCTTTGCTGTGTGTATCTTTGAAGCTTGGCAATGATAAACCATAAACCGTTACAGGAGAATGTGTGCATATATGATATATATATATATATATGTAAGTATATTACAAACCACGTTCATTGAAGTTGCTTAACTTCAGTTCCCCCTGCTAATTAATAGAGTTGGAAGGGGTTGATTTTTCAAATGAATACGACTATTTTGATTGAGAAATCTGATCTATATGATTTTGAGCTGCAAAAGCTTTTAGGACAGCGAGATGGGATACATAACGTATGCATTCTTAATACTTAGGTTGACAAAAATGGTCAGTCTCCATTGATGGGTTAAAAAAGAAAACTTTTTGCTCATTTTCTCTTTCCTTCTATTTCTTATTGAAAAATGAACGTACAAAGAATTAATGGACAATGAAATCGTAGTACAATGGTATGCAGGGGACTTGAAGTTATGGCCAGTGAGCATTTAATTTACATGGAGAAGGTGAACAAGAAACTCAAACATGTTTGCAACGCCTTGTAAAAATCAATAATTAATTTGCTAGTTTCAATATATCCAAAGCAGATATTGAAGAGAGATAAATTTCACAATAAATCAATCTGAGAGTTCAATTTTTTCTTTCTTTTTGGTATCAAAAATTTCACAGTAAATCAATAGACTCGGGTAATAGTCTAATAGTAATGGATAATGCTCTAAACTACTCTTATCAATAAACGAAAATCAGGGGAAATTTTTTTTTTAAAAAAGGATATATGTACCGCTCATAGCTATCGAGTGCCACTCGGCTATACTATTTATAAAATTAAAAAAAGCACCACCCAGCGATTAGGTGCCCACGTGTCAAAATCAGTATAGCCGATCGGCTATAAGATTTTTTTTAAAAACAGAAAACCCCCGTATAGCCGCGCGGCTATACTATATATATATATTTTTTTTTTAAAGGAGGACCCGCTAGAGATTAGGTGCCCACGTGTCAAAATAAGTGTAGCCACACGGCTCAACTATTTTTAAAATAAAAAACCGCGTTTAGCCACGCGGCTAGACTATTTATTAAATTAAAAAAAAGCACCACCCAGCGATTAGGTGCCCACGTGTCAAAATCAGTATAGCCGATCGGCTATAAGATTTTTAAAAAAAATCAGAAAATCCGAGTATAGCCGCGCGGCTATACTATAGATATATATTTTTTAAAGGAGGACCCGCCTAGAGATTAGGCGCCCACGTGTCAAAATAAGTATAGCCAAACGGCTCTACTATTTATAAAAAAAATATAAAAAGGACCAGCCAATTAATATAGCCGTGCGGCGATACTATTTGAGTGTCAGTTTATACTTTATAGATATTAATTTGCTAGTTTCTTTCAACATATCCAAAGCAGATATTAAAGAGATCCAAATTTCACAGTAAATCAATCTGAGAGCTCGATTTTTTTATTTTTTATTTTGGTGGAAATTTCACAGTAAATCAATAGAGACTTGAATAATGGCCTAATAATAATGGATAATGCTCTAAACTACTCTTATCCATTAACAAAAATTGGAACATTGATCAATCATATTAAGAAAGGAACCTCCTAGTTGCATTAGTTTAAATTTATCATCTTTCCGTAGCCATAATAATGCAAGGACTTACAGGTAGAAAATGGAACATTGATCAATCATATTAATTTCGTAAATTGTTTTTCTGTTTGATTTGTTGAGGTCTTAACCTTAAAGATTACTTGATACCTTATTTGGGTTAGATGGTTAAACGAGGAGAAGTTAATTCACATCATTTTAGAAACTCGAATATCAGCAGATCATGACCAATATCTCTTGAAAATTAGCCTTTCGCAAGTACGAATCTCTTAGTTAGTTTGAATAGTTTTAATTGTTAGGAAGAAGAAGAAGAAGAATAAAGTTTGTTTTGTATGTCATTTGGACTGGTAAAGTTGGAAAATAGAGCAAGAAGTTCAAGCAGAACAACACACACCATGCATGTAGCAACTGACACTCAAATCATGCAGCACATTCATCTATTTACATATTTTTGGAAAAGAGAGCAAAAATTGCATGAACATTTCATATATAAGCCTTGGTAAATGGTAATCTCAAATTATTATTCTACATAAGGACATAACATGGCTTCTCTTCACAGCTCTCTGCTTCAACATCCATTTGCCCTTTCCTCTCTGACTCTGCTACTCTTTCTCATTTCCCTTCCACCATCCATCCTTTCACAAGACCCCAGCTCCTCAAGCCCTACCATTGCTCAATGCACCACACGGCTTCTTCCACTGGCCTCGTGTGCATCGTTTGTGCAAGGCACTTCCCAATCTCCGGCACAATCATGTTGTGACAACCTCAAGCTGCTCTATAGCCAGCAGCCAGACTGCCTTTGCCTTTTGCTCAATGGCACTACTTTGAGCTCCTTCCCTATCAACACCACACGTGCTCTTCAGCTGCCTGCTCTCTGCAGCCTTCAAGTTGACGAAAGTTTGGTACCAACAATAAGCTTCCATAAATTATCATTCTCACATATGACGGATGTTACATAACCAGGAACTTCAACCGGGTAATGGCTCCTTAGAAGGCTTTAAATAATTCTCTTACCATCAACATCTGAAATCACCTGGGAAGTCCTCTTTGGCACTTGCCGCATCCTAAATCAGCAGATATAACCACTTCCGGAATCTGCTCAATAAAATTATAATCAGGCATGAACTGCGTACCGACATCAATAAACTATCCATAATGTGTTTGAAAATAGTGAGACAGAGGGAACCAACCAGAGGCACCTCTAAGGTTGTAGCAGAAAGCAGAGCTGGTTCGAGGAAGTAGCCACCTGTTACTGGCCTTGTGAGCTTTTAGTGGAGCAAACTTCTTCTTAACCCAAAAAGTCGGAGAAATGGCTTTGCTGTGTGTATCTTTGAAGCTTGGCAATGATAAACCATAAACCGTTACAGGAGAATGTGTGCATATATGATATATATATATATATATGTAAGTATATTACAAACCACGTTCATTGAAGTTGCTTAACTTCAGTTCCCCCTGCTAATTAATAGAGTTGGAAGGGGTTGATTTTTCAAATGAATACGACTATTTTGATTGAGAAATCTGATCTATATGATTTTGAGCTGCAAAAGCTTTTAGGACAGCGAGATGGGATACATAACGTATGCATTCTTAATACTTAGGTTGACAAAAATGGTCAGTCTCCATTGATGGGTTAAAAAAGAAAACTTTTTGCTCATTTTCTCTTTCCTTCTATTTCTTATTGAAAAATGAACGTACAAAGAATTAATGGACAATGAAATCGTAGTACAATGGTATGCAGGGGACTTGAAGTTATGGCCAGTGAGCATTTAATTTACATGGAGAAGGTGAACAAGAAACTCAAACATGTTTGCAACGCCTTGTAAAAATCAATAATTAATTTGCTAGTTTCAATATATCCAAAGCAGATATTGAAGAGAGATAAATTTCACAATAAATCAATCTGAGAGTTCAATTTTTTCTTTCTTTTTGGTATCAAAAATTTCACAGTAAATCAATAGACTCGGGTAATGGTCTAATAGTAATGGATAATGCTCTAAACTACTCTTATCAATAAACGAAAATCAGGGGAAATTTTTTTTTTAAAAAAGGATATATGTACCGCTCATAGCTATCGAGTGCCACTCGGCTATACTATTTATAAAATTAAAAAAAGCACCACCCAGCGATTAGGTGCCCACGTGTCAAAATCAGTATAGCCGATCGGCTATAAGATTTTTAAAAAAAATCAGAAAATCCGAGTATAGCCGCGCGGCTATACTATAGATATATATTTTTTAAAGGAGGACCCGCCTAGAGATTAGGCGCCCACGTGTCAAAATAAGTATAGCCAAACGGCTCTACTATTTATAAAAAAAATATAAAAAGGACCAGCCAATTAATATAGCCGTGCGGCGATACTATTTGAGTGTCAGTTTATACTTTATAGATATTAATTTGCTAGTTTCTTTCAACATATCCAAAGCAGATATTAAAGAGATCCAAATTTCACAGTAAATCAATCTGAGAGGTCGATTTTTTTATTTTTTATTTTGGTGGAAATTTCACAGTAAATCAATAGAGACTCGAATAATGGCCTAATAATAATGGATAATGCTCTAAACTACTCTTATCCATTAACAAAAATTGGAACATTGATCAATCATATTAAGAAAGGAACCTCCTAGTTGCATTAGTTTAAATTTATCATCTTTCCGTAGCCATAATAATGCAAGGACTTACAGGTAGAAAATGGAACATTGATCAATCATATTAATTTCGTAAATTGTTTTTCTGTTTGATTTGTTGAGGTCTTAACCTTAAAGATTACTTGATACCTTATTTGGGTTAGATGGTTAAACGAGGAGAAGTTAATTCACATCATTTTAGAAACTCGAATATCAGCAGATCATGACCAATATCTCTTGAAAATTAGCCTTTCGCAAGTACGAATCTCTTAGTTAGTTTGAATAGTTTTAATTGTTAGGAAGAAGAAGAAGAAGAATAAAGTTTGTTTTGTATGTCATTTGGACTGGTAAAGTTGGAAAATAGAGCAAGAAGTTCAAGCAGAACAACACACACCATGCATGTAGCAACTGACACTCAAATCATGCAGCACATTCATCTATTTACATATTTTTGGAAAAGAGAGCAAAAATTGCATGAACATTTCATATATAAGCCTTGGTAAATGGTAATCTCAAATTATTATTCTACATAAGGACATAACATGGCTTCTCTTCACAGCTCTCTGCTTCAACATCCATTTGCCCTTTCCTCTCTGACTCTGCTACTCTTTCTCATTTCCCTTCCACCATCCATCCTTTCACAAGACCCCAGCTCCTCAAGCCCTACCATTGCTCAATGCACCACACGGCTTCTTCCACTGGCCTCGTGTGCATCGTTTGTGCAAGGCACTTCCCAATCTCCGGCACAATCATGTTGTGACAACCTCAAGCTGCTCTATAGCCAGCAGCCAGACTGCCTTTGCCTTTTGCTCAATGGCACTACTTTGAGCTCCTTCCCTATCAACACCACACGTGCTCTTCAGCTGCCTGCTCTCTGCAGCCTTCAAGTTGACATCTCTGCTTGTTCAGGTAACTTCTGATTTTGGAAAATAAAAAAATATATAAAACAAGAGGGTTCTGTGATAATTCTGGTTTCAACTCTGTTAAGTAGAATAACTTCAAACAGTTTCATGTTTGTGCATTGTTTTAATCTTCTTCTTTTTTTGTGTGTGGTTTTGCTGCAGGGGTACATGTGCCTCCTAGCACACCTAGTTCTCAAGTTTCCTTTGGGACAAACACCAACTCAACTGCTGTTAACTCTACAATTGCTGGTATGCAAATATATCCATCTCTTACATTTGTGTAGAATCCTTCTAATTTATGTAATGGTGTCTCAAAAAGAAATTAACTATCAGAAAATAGTAAGAACCCATCAATTAGGTTAGTCATTTTACTATTCCTTGTAGGTTCATTCCTTTGATTAAGAAAAAAGTAAATAGAAAAATCCTATTCAAGGCTTGAATTCTTGGGTTTATTATGATTCTCTATTTCTTTGGGTTTCAGCCTCTCCAATGCCTCAAAATGCACCAAGACCCAGCATGATGGGGTTAGGATTTGGCAGAACTTCAAGTGCTGGCACCAAATTGAAGATGGGCAGTTGCCTCACGGTGGTGGCGCTGGCTATGGGAGGCCTTCTGGTGACAGGAGTTCCATTTTCAGTATGATCATACCAGCAGACTATTCTGTGGATGGTTTTTTATGGTGTGTTTAGAGTTTTTTGTTCTTTTTATAATTAGAACCAGCCCGAGATTATATTTCACTATGGTTTTGTTTAAATGATACCGGATCTTCTATTGATTTGAATAAGAACAGTGTTTTACTGTCAAATTATGTCCTTCATTTGCCTCTCCTTAGCTTAGCCTTTCTGTATCAACACCACATAATATAGTGGGAGGAAATACAATTCAGAAAAGAAGTTTTACATAGGGAACGTCACCTTACAAATTGAGATACTAAGTTTGACAGAAAGTTTCTTTGCCTAGGAGTATATCATGTATCAGATGTAAACGTCCTTTTCATGACAGAGACAGACTATTCCAAACTAGGAGCCACTTCAGTTGGGTTGGATTCGAAGACATCTGGGTTAGTTGCCTCCGGTTCTTCCAAAAACTCCCGAGACTGGAATGAATCTTTGTACACAGGAGTCTCCTTAAAATCAGTTGCTCCTTCATTGTAAGAAGTAGCAGCAACGAGACATGCAATAAGCTGCACACACACACCAAAACCGAACAGCATTAGCCTTGAGGGGTGGTTAGTGGAAGCAAAAGTAGGGTAGTATTCACTTATGAGCTAGTTTTCCCTACACTTTGTTCAGGAAAAAGATTCACTCAACTGCTATTAAATTTCTAATCTCAACCTTTCCATAAGCAAAAAGTAAAACCAAATAGAACTCCCTGAATTTCTTCTTCAGGTTTTCATAATATAACCAGTTCCAGCAGGTAGCTTTTTGGCTAGTTAAGGAATCTATGAACATCATTCAAATCAGCAGTGGGGGGCTTCAGACTTGAAGGTTAAAAGCTAGAATCAAAAAGGGCATTCTTGAAATCACAGTTGCATTGGCCCTTGCTTGTGAAGGAGAGCATTTCTCCAATAACTACCAGAAAATACTCTGGTATAGAAGCAAAATCATACCAAAATGTGGAAATTAATCATTATTTGAGCAGGGTTTCAGCTACAACTGAATTAAACTATAATTTAGCAAAGTCCTAGTGATCATATACTTGTAGCAGCAGAAAATCATACCAAAATGTGGAAATTAATCATTATTTGAGCAGGGTTTCAGCTACAACTGAATTAAACTATAATTTAGCAAAGTCCTAGTGATCATATACTTGTAGCAGCAGAGACACAAAAATCATGAACCCAACAAATTAAAGGACCAAAATTTAACTAGTGTGGGAGAGAGAAAGTAAAGACATACCGCAAAGCCAATTCCAAAAGCCCACAAGTACTCGACAAAGAAGCCAAGAAAGTCCCATTTTTCACCTTCCCAGAAGTCAGGTTCGTCACCCGGAAGCTTAGGCAAGAAATACCCATCATCAACATTGTCAACAGCAACACCATCACCAACGTTTTCAATCTCAGCCGTCCGTTCTAGTCGCAGTGGGTCTTGTTCTTGGTCTCTGGTGGTTGTGGTGCCTCTCTTGTTCTTGCCGTCGGACCTCCCAGTTCTGGACGTGAACCTCTTGGCTGACACCACGTGGAGGGTCCTTCTGGGGGAGAGAGGGAAGAGGACGTGGCGTTGAGAGGAGAGGTTGGTGTAGGGGTGACTGGTGGAGCTGCTGTACAGGAGCCTAGCTCCACTGTTGGCTATGGTTAGAGCCATGGGTGGAGGAGAGTGAGAGAGTGTGCAGAACATAAGCTGATCAGCGCGATCTTTTGAGAGAGTTTGTGGATGAGAGTGGGGAGATAATAATGGATGTTGGTTTCTATAAACTTGACCCGGTTTGTCTTCTTATTGGACCATCCGGTCCATTTCTGTAGGCCCAAATATATTTTTTGCTTCTTTCGAGCCCAAATATTTTTTTTTCTTCTTCTGAGCCCAAATAATAAATTTACTTTTATTTTTCTGTTAATTTTCTTTCAGCTTTTGTCATAGTTACGGATAAATTATTGTTTAAAGTATGAATTTTTAATTTTTAATTTTCTAATAGATTGGTACTTTAATTTTCTAATCGATTTTTACTGAAATTATTGCTTAGAGCTTAAATTTCGAAATTTAAATTGTGGATTGAATAAATTTTAAAATCACAACTCTAACTCTAAGGTCCCTTTTGATTTACATAATGGATTTGAAGGGAAATCACTTCCCATGTCATTTCACAAGAGATGGGAAATAAAGATTCATTTCCCATGTTTGGTAATCCTGAAAAAGTAATCAAGAAATACCACTTTATTTCCTTTCACATGTTTGGTTTGTGTATAAATGTAAAACAAAGTTTGTTTTATTTTCCAATTATATCCATATGAAATCAAATAAATAAAAAATAATATATTTAATGCTATATTATAATTCTAAATTGTGAATGGGGACAATATGGTCAAGAAAAATGTGTATTTAATGTTGGCTCATTTTCCCAAACTTTCATACGATAAGGAAAACAAAACTCAAGGGAGGAGGAGAGCTTCACTTTTGCCCCCCTACTTTCTCATGTGCAAGGCAACGATTTCTCATTTTGGGACTCACCAAACATGAAAAAGCAATTGATTTTCCATCAACAAGCCTCTTTTCCCATGAACCAAATGGGGCCTAAAGGACTGTTTTATGTGCTAAATAATAAGGGCACGTTTGGTTCAAGGTTTAGGAGCTTATGAATGGGTTTCATATTGCATTTTTATGTTTGATAAGTGCATTCTTGATAATGCAATCTGTATTCATGGATATGGATATTCCATGCATTAGGGAATTTCATACCATTGGCTCACCTTAGGTCCTTTGACATTTATTACTTTTTTGTTGTGTCGATTTTACCCTTTAAGGTAAATAAGAAAAATACATTGAAAATCTAAATTTAATGCATTATTTCCTTGTAATTGAATTCCAGATTTTGAATTTTGAATTTTTTTTCCATGATAATATTCCTAATATATAGATAAAATACAATTTAATCAATAAAAAGTAAAGACTCACATATTATACAAATCGATCAGACAAGCACCCACATTAAATTATGTACCTGACATACAGGTAAATAATGTTAATACATACAGGTATATATGTACCTGCCTTACAGGTAAGTATTTTTTTCTTAAGTTTTCTTAAGCAGTTTTTTCTGAAGCTTCATATTTATATACATACGTACATGTCTTACATGTAATAGTTTTTTTTTTTTTTTCAAATAAATTTTATATGGATTTTTATCTCAGTTGAGTTTAAAGATCCATACCAAGATATTATATGAGTTCAATTAGCTGGGTTAGAGGGTATAACTACCTAGACTAGAGGTAATTTATGAATTTAATTATCTGGACCAGAGGTAATTTATGGGTTTAATTACCTGCATACTGCATACGAGGTGTATGCATAGGTACCTTACCTATTGTTAAGGTATGAAGTTTTTATGAACTCTTATTACAAATTTTGATGTCGGTATACCTTGGGAAAATTTCAGAATTCAATAAATAGATTTGCAATTAAATTCAAATCAAATATGATAATTAATATCCTACAAATCAATAACTTACCAGTTTTAGGAATTCATAATTTACCTTATTTATGTTTTAGGTGCATAACTGGAACAAAAAATAAAAAATAAAAAAAAGTAAATATCAATAAATTGAAA